GTGTGTGTGTGTGGGCTCAAGGCCCTGCTGTCTAGGCCAGCTGCATCCCCGTGAGTGTGCGTCGGACCGGGGTCCTGGTTCGGGTTCGTGCCGTTTCATAACAATAATTTAAAAAAAACAACCAAAAAAAAAAAAAAAGACCTTCGTGCCACCGCGCGAGGCGGAGGGGGAAGTTCCCAAATTTCCCTGGGAGCTGCCGGGCCCGCTCCCGTGACGCGGCCGTGACGTCACCGCCCCCGCCCCTCCCCTCCCCGGCGCTGGCCAGGCGGCAGCGGGCGCGTCCCTCCGCCAGAGTCCACCCCGCGCGGCACGGAGCGAGCCTCACGAGCGCCACAGCCTCACAGCCTGCCCGCACGCGCGTCCACCCCCCGGGAGCAGCGAGCAGGGCGCGAGGCGGAGCCCGCGAGGAGAGCGAGGGAGAGAGCGAGCGAGCAGAGCGGAGCCTCGAGACGCCGGGAAGTCTTTGTGTTCCGGCCGCTTCTTCACTCGTCTGGAGGAACGAGGAAGCAGGAAGTTTCTGTTCGGCTGTCCCCGGAGTTTGGATTCCCGCTGCTCTCGGAGCCGAGCCGAGCCGAGCCGAGCCGGACCGGACCGGACCGCACCGGCGCGATGGCGAGACCGCTGTCCAGGGAGGGCGCGCTGACCGCGCTGGCCAGCCTGCTGCTTGTCCAAGGTACGAGGCCCCGGCGGTCGGGAGCTCAAAGTCCGCCCCTGGGCTCGGTTCGCGGCGGGTTAGTCTCGCCTGGAGGGAGTCCCGCCCGCCCGCCGAACTCCTCCTGGCGCTGGGCTCGGCGGGGCTGCCTCCTGGGCTTTCTGTGCTCTTAAAATGGCGGAGACGTACACTCTTCAGCTACCTGTTATTGGAGTTCTCCCTGCGCGGCCCTGAGCACCGCCCCCCCCCGTGCCTCCCGAGTTTCGGCCGCCATGTTGCCCAAGGTGTGGCTGCGGCACAGGTGCGATGGCGTCCGCCCGGCGGGGGCTGGGCTGGGCTCGCACCCGGGGCCCGGGGGGGAGCCGTGGGAGTGGGTTCGGTGACGGAGCGGGGTGGGCTTGTCAGCAGTGGGAGAGATTCGTACAGTGTTAGTGGGGTAAACGGTTTCCTTATTTGCAAACTTTGGTCTTATGTTTGTCGTGTCTGTGCCAGTATCAGGGGTGTGTCAGTATCTGTGCCAGCTCCGTGCCAGTATCAGTGGGGTGTCAGCTCCATGCCAGTATTAGTGGGGTGTCAGTATCAGTGGTGTGTCAGCTCCGTGTCAGTACCAGTGGTGTGTCAGTACCAGTGGTGTGTCAGTACCAGTGCCAGCTCTGTGCCAGTATCAGTGGGGTGCCAGTACCAGTGGTGTGCCAGTACCAGTATCAGTGGTGTGCCAGTACCAGTGTAGGTGCTTGTTGTTTGTTGCTGGGGTACTGTGCGTGTGGAGCTTGCATGCTGTCCCTGTGCTGTGGGTGGGC